CTGGCTTCAGCTTCCTGACGTAGGCTGTATTACCAGGGTGCCCCCACCATGCCTGGGCAATTTTTTGTTATTTTTTAGTAGACGATGGGGTTTCAACCATTGTTGGTCAGCCGGGGGGGCGGTCTCAACTCCGGACCTCAGGTTGTTTCCACCTACCTTGGCCTCCTGAGTGCTGGATTAGAGGGTGAACATGGCACCTACCTTGCAACCTTGAATCTTTTTTATATGCTTATTGGGCATTTTTATTCTTGTGGGAATTGCCTGTTTCCCCATTGCCTATTTTCTAGCCAACCTCCAAAGTCACATTTCAGTTAATTTTTATCCTGCTGATTGAAAGCATTTTAACTTAATGATTTTAACATAAACAGGAGCAGGACAGATTGTAATTATCTAGATCTCGCTCTGTCACCCAGGCTGGAGTGCAGTGGCATGATCATAGTTGCTGCAGCCTCGTACTCCTGAGCTGAAGCAATTTTGTCTACCTCATCCTCCCAAGTAGCTAGGACTACAGGTGTGTGCCACCATGCCCAGCTAATTCTTAAAAATTTTTTGTAGAGATGTGAATTCACTATGCTGCCCAGGCTGGTCTTGAACTCCTGACTTAAAGTGATCTTACCACCTTGGCTTGCCAAAGTTCTGGGATTACAGACATGAACTACTGCTTCTGGCTGAGAGCTCATTTTGTTTGCTAGTGGTGTTCTTGGTATCCTTTTATATTTGAGGCTTTGGTGCTAGTGCTGAAGTATTACACTCACTATCCGAGGTTTACAGGACTTTTGCTTTAATATTGAACAGATGGAACTGTTTAGTTCTGCATGTTTGTAGACATAAAAAATGTACCTACCAGGACTCTGCTTTATATCCATTGAAAGCAAGAAGTAATACAATAAAACTTTGCCTGGCTAGAGGCTTTGAAATAATGAAGTATTCTGATTTGATTCTATTAACGTGGAAGTGTGAAGGTGAAAAGAATTCAAAACTTACATTTCCTGTTGAATGCAATTTGAAAATACAGCCAATCATTCCACTTTTCTTCTCTAGTAAGTTTGGTCATTCTGATCTACTTGGTGTTTTATTATAGAACTGCTAGTGTGTCTGAGACTTACATTGTGAAGACACTTTTTTAAAAACTTGAGAGGTAGGAGGGTGTAAAGTGTATGAGATCAGGCTGAATGAGAACTGACACTTGTAAATATACTTTTTAGACTGAATCTCTGATTGCCACTTGTTTTGTTATTTAACTCATAAAAATAAAACACATTGGGTGGAGGGTGGGAGTAGGAAGGAGATTTATGTGTTTTAATTGCATGTCATGGTTTCGTATCAAGACAGAACATATGGTATCCCTGGCTTTGGACCTACAGAAGGAAACACATTTTTCTACCTGCTGTATGCCAGAGGT